TGTTGAGGTGATTTTCTTGGACATTAAAAATAACAGCCTACCCTGTATTGCAGCAATTGGCTGTTTACAAAATGCTTTCCCACGCATTGTCTCAGCCCACATAACAGCCCTAGGAGGTAGGTGGGTTTTCCTCCTTTGCAGATGAGCTGCTGAGGCTTAGAGGGGCAGGGTCCTCAGTCAAGGGCTCCTGTGGGGTGTGGTGGGGTGGGGCTTGAGCCAGCGCCTCACCAGGCCAAGCCTGGTGCTCTGGTGGCTACACCTTTCTTGTGTCCCCCCTGAGCACTTCCGGCGCCTCATTTTAAAGCAGCAGTTTGGGTCATTTCCCTCAGCGGATGTATCACACATATGCTCGCCATATCAAAGCTTATTTGCCACTTTAATGCCCAATCACTTGGAAGATCTTCTTTTCATAAAGAAGCTCTAAGACGAAAATCACTTACCGAGTACAGAAATGCGAATTGTGCTTTCATCAGCATGCACTGTGAAATTGCACTTCCCAAAAGCGCTCGGGGGGCGGGGGTTTGAACTTGTTCTTTGGGCCGTTAGAAGAGGGACCTAAACGTCAGCTCCTTAAGCACAAAGTCACTCAAAGGGCATGTAATGATTTCAGTTCTTGCGTGAGCCTGGCTGTTTTGCAAGTGTGTTTAGTCCTTCTGGGCAGGAGGGAAAGGGGTTTTGGGTCCCCTCAGGTGTGGACGCCTAGGGAGGAACTTCCTTTGTGGCCAGTTACCACAGTTCACGTGTGACTGATAAATACCACTGTGGACATCACACAGGATCAGCTAGTCGTATGTGGTGGCTGGGCGCGTGGGCCTGGTAATCAGGCAGACTGGATTTGATTCTGACTCTGCCCTAGCTAGCTCCTTGACCTTGGGAACCTTATTAATCTCTCAAAGCTTTGGTTTCTTCCTCTGTAAATAGGATTAGTCCAATAGTAGCACCTTCCTCCTGAGGTTGTTGTAGGATTAAACAAGATGAGTTGTTTAACACATAGACCCAGTAATAAGCATTACAGAAATGTCGACAGTAATGGCAATGGTGATGATGATGATGTATTTGAGCAGCTGCTACTCATAACTACACATGTTCATTCATGAAGCACGTAGAAGATGCTGCTGACATGGTGTCTCTTAACAGCTTGAGGGTTCAGGGAGTCTCTGAGTCTCCCTGAGTAAATGGCATGGTGCTGACCTTGAAAAAGATGGGGAGAGGGGAGTCTGGGAAGCCTTGGTCAATTGGCCATTGCCCTGAGAAAATCTATGCAGCACTGCAGGCTGCAAGGGGCTTGGAGTACAGCCTCAAAGGGCCCCTTAACATTGGGGTGCAAGCAGACAGTTTTGGCTGTTATTTTATTGTGGTAAAATACACATACCGTAAAGTTTACCACCCTAACCATCTTTAAGTATATAACTCAGTGGCATTAAACGCAGTCACATAGTTATGCAGGCGTCACCACCATCCGCCTCCAGAACTGTTTTCATCTTCCCACACCGAAACTCTGTGCCCGGCAACCAAATACCCCCCATTTCCCCTCCCCCCACTCCTGGCAGCCACCATCTACTTCCTGTCCCTAGGAATCCGGCTCCTTTAGCTACCTCACGTGAGTAGAGCCATATGACATTTGTCCCTGTGTGTCTGTTTTATTTCACTTGGCACAGTGTCCTCAGGGGTCACCCTCACTGCAGCAGGTGTCAGGACTTCCTTCCTCCCTGACGCTGGGTGGCCGTCGAGTGGGTGTGGGATGTGTGCACCGTGGCTCGTTCATCCACCGATGGACATCGGTGGGCATTTGGACTGTTTCCGCCTTTCGGCCACTGTGAATAATGCTGGGAGCGTTTGTGGACCCCCATTTATTCGAGTCTCTGTAAGTCTTTTGGGCGTGTACCTGGAGGAGGAAGTGCTGGATCTTGTGGAAATTTTGTTTCCCGGAGGCTTTTACATTGGGAAATGCACGAGGGTTTTACATTTTCCACATCTTCATCAACACTTATTTTAATTTTTTTAAATAATAACTATGCTAATGGCTATGAAATGGTATCTCACTGTGGTTTTGACTCACTTTTTCCTAATGATTAGTGCAGCTGAGCATCTCGTCATGTGCTTATCAGCCATCTGTATATCTTTTCTGGAGAAACGTCTATTCAGGTCCTTTGCCTGTTCTTAATGGGGTTCCTTTTTGTTGTTTCTGTTGAGTCGTAGGAGTTTTAAAATATATTCCAAATATTGTTTTTTGTCAGACATATAATTTTCAGATTTTTTTCCATTCCATGGGTTGCCTTCTGTTGACAGTGTTCTTTGATGCAAAAAGTTTTAATTTTGCTGAAGTTCCATTTATTTATTAGTTTCTTTCTCTGTGCTTTGGTGTGATACCCAAGAAATCATTGCCAAATCCAATGTCATGAAGCTTATCCCCTATATTTCCCCTGTATTTTCTTCCAAGAGTTCTATAGTTTTAGCTCTTACGATTAGGCCTTTGGCCTATTTTAAATTAAGTTTTGTATATGGTGTGAGGTAAGGGTCCAATGTCGTTCTCTTTTGCACGTGAATATCTGGTTTTCCCAACACCCGTCGTTGGAAAGACCGTCCTTCCCCACTGCACAGTCTCGTTCTCCTTGTTGAAAACCATTTGACCATAAACACAAGGGTTTATTTCTGGGTTCTCTAACCGACTCTACTGGTCTGTATGTCTGTCTTTGTGCCATTACCGTGACGTGTTGTAAACTTCATTTTTATCGTTTTTATTTAGAGTTATAATGGGTTCACGGCAAAACTGAGCAGAAGGAACAGGAATTTCCTGTTGGCAGGAAAATGAGGTGCGGTTAAGAAGTCCTGGGACTGATGGAAAATTATGTTTCTCTGTTCTCAGTGTCTAGTACAGTGTCTGGCACATAGTAATTATTAAGTGAATGAAAGAATGAATGAATTTTTTAAAAAGCAGTTTCTCAAAACGAAATGAGCTAGAGGCCCCTCTGAATGAAGGGTTGATTTGGAATTCACAAAGGTGGCAAGCATTGAAGGGTGACCATAAGGATGAAGGAGTCACCAGTTCTCCCCTGACACGGAGCAGGTGTTGGTCCCACATTTCAAGCAGCAGAGCCACCTGGATCGCAGAAAACTTTGCTGGGTCATATACGCTTTCGAGAGCCGGCTCCCTGGGTAAGCGTATGCCCCTTCCCCCAGCAGCCCGTGCATAGGAAGAACATAACGTGTGCCGTATCTCTGTGTGTTTCTGACTACTGAATCAGTAACTTCGGTCCATTGGATGCAAAGAAAATGGGTGCAGTGCTGTAAGTTCTAGATGGAACTTGTTCGTGTGGATCGAGTGCGTCATAACATGTGCTTTGGCACAGCTTCGAGATAACGGGAACGATTTAGAGTGCTTGAGTCTGTGTGCCTTCGTTCTGACTGGGGGTAGTTGGAGAGCTCCGAGTGGCCACCATTTTGTTAGTACTGCTGGGTTCTCCCACTGGAATCGAGCCCTCGAAACCTGGATTAGATAAAAATTCTGATCGACCGTAGTCTCAGAGTGGGAGGGCCAGATGATTTTATTTACTGTGTTGGCATTTCTCTTCACTGGGACTTTAAACAGGCAGGTTCTAAATATGAACTAACATGTTCCCCAGCATTTGGAAACTTTGATAATTCTGTAAATGCAGAACTAGATCAGATTTGATTAATTTGATAACCTAGGCTGTAGTGGAAAGGGCGGGCCCTTTGGTCTCAGTGAGGGAGACCCTTTGCTTGTGCAAAAAGTGGGTGTGCTCTAAGGCTGGCTCCTAGGAGCCAAGGACGGGGAGGACAGCGGGCTCAGGAGGGTCTGCGTCTAGGACCCAGGAGCCCTGGGAACTGAGGTCACTCGGGCTGTGTCTCCGGGGCCCCAGGGTCTCACCTCTACTTCTGCCCCTGCACCTGCTCCTTTCTTCTCTCTCAGCAGGTCCTCTGCCTTCATGTCTGTGTGACGCAGCCAAGCACAGCTGCCCGGCTCTGGCTTTTTATCACCTCCAGTCCACGGCCAGCCAGGGCCGCCTGGCATCTGGTTTCCAAATTCCTGGGGGAATCTGGTGATCTCATCTTGAGTCGGATGACTGCTCCTGGTTTGTTCACTTATTTATTCAAAATGTTTTACTGAGCACTGGCTCATGTTTCTCAGTTGATTGGCGTACCCTCCCATGACCGAGGGGTTGCAGGTTTGATCCCCGGTCAGGGCACACACCTAGGTTGTGGGCTCCATCCCTGGTCCAGGCGCGGGTGTGTGTGACCCCTGCCTGCACACATGCAATGCTTGGTCTGGGCCTGTATGGGAGGCAGCGATCAATGTGTCCCTCCCGCATCGATGTTTCCCTCTCCCTTCCCCCTCTCTAAAAGCAATGAAAAATTGTCCTTGGGTGAGGACTTAGAAAAAGTCTTTACTGAGTGCCAGAAAGTGTTTTAGGCACAGGAAAATGTATCCGGCATCCTGCCCTCCTGGACTCTGTGTATGTGTGATGTCTGTGTGTGTGTGTGTGTGTGAGAGAGAGAGAGAGAGAGAGGAAACTCATTCTTTGGGGACTGGGTTAAGAGTTACAATTTTCACAGAAAGAGAAGTATGGCTTAGGATCCAGAGAGATCTGGATTCAAATTCTGATTTTTCTCCTTACCAGCTCTGTGTGACCTTGGACGTATCGGATTACCCTTCCCAGCCCCAGTCTTCTCATCAATAAAATGGGAGTAATCCTTTCTGGGTAGTCATGTGTATTAAAATGGAAGGGTAAAGTCGTCAGTGTAGTGTCTGCCACACAGACTCAGAACCGCATCCCTCCCTGGTCGTGACCCTGAGCAAACTGCTTAACCCGATTCTTCTCCTGTGAAATAGGAAGGAGGGTCAGCTGCCTCACCCGCCCACTGCGAGGACCGAGGCGTGTGAGGTGTGCCAGGGCGCTGGGCACGTGTGCACAGCACACGTCAGTGTGGCTGCCGCTCCTCTTGCTCGTTATTAGTCACGTTTTTTCTCTTTCTTCTAGTTCCCTTTTGGCCGACGCTTGCCATGTGACATCTACTGGCACGGTGTTTCATTTCACGACAGTGACATATACTCCGGTCAAGTGAACAAGTTCCCAGGTATCCGCTGCTGCCGTTGGCGTGTACAGGTGTTTGCAGGGCTGAGTCTGGGGCGCACCTGTGTTCAGGAACAGGATGTGCTCTGAGATCAGACGCGGGCCTTTTAAATGGGACTGGCTGCCACACTGCCGCGGTGCCGCCACCGTGGCAGGGGTCTCAACTCAGAGGGGTCCCACCGAGGGTTTAGAGATCGGAGGCTCAAAAATGTAAAGAGACAGGCTCTTCCAGTCTAGTGCCCCTGCTGCAGGTGCGTGACTTCCACCTTGCTGGTAGAGATGCAGCACGGGGGTGTCGGGGATGCTTTTGCATTCTCCAAATGAAAAAACAGAAAAGGCCATGTTACTTAAATAATTCACTGAATAAAGTTCTAGGACTGTGTCACAGAAGCAGGGTCACAGTTTTCATTTTGTTCAAGCATCACACGTGGAGGTGCCACTTTAAACCACGTGCACCTGCCCGCCGGGGAGCCAGTCCCGGTGGCAGGGAACCTCCGCTGCTGCCCGGGCCGTTGCCCAGTCAGACTGACCGGCCGGAGGACTGCGGCCTGGAAGGGGGCACGGCTGACCCTCGACGATACCCGCTCACCCCGCTCCCAGCCTCCCCCTCCGCCTCTTCATTTTGTTTTAACCTCTGCCGCCCTCTTCTGCGGTGGTTGCTGCTCCTTCTTTTTAATGGCTAAGGGAAGAGGGGCGGTTCCGGTGAGCGGAAGTGCCGGGGGAAGGTGACCTTGGGTAAGCGGGGTCTGAGCACAGCCAGAGGGTCTTCCGCTAGTTTTCAGAAACTTTAACATGCTGTTCAAAGCATGTTATAATACAGTGATTTTTCCAAAGGTCATCGCCCCGAACCCCATCCCTCATTTAACAAAACCACGATGCAGATGTTTCCACGTGGCCTCCCAAATCTCAACCACGATTATGTATCATTTTTTCGTAGTTTCGCTCCCAGTGTACTTGCCTGATAGGAGGTGTTTTCTCTCAGCATTAAATTGTGTATGCTTGTTCTAAAAAGGGGAATCAATCAATTTTTTTTCTTCGGCAGTCCATGCTGCATCTGTAAGAGAACACCCCTCAGAACACCTGAGATCCATACACTGGCTGGTTGTGCCCCACCTGCCCGGGAGTTTTCTGCTGAGCGAGCAAGTTGCCCCCAGCCACACGTGGCTCAGACTGACTTAGAAGAACACAGGGCAGGAGACAGGGCTTGCCCACCGGCCAGCCTCGGGCCTTTCTGTCCAGTGGAGTCTTCACAAGGGTTCCGAGGACTAGTGTCTGTCCCCTCAGGTGTGAGCTCGGGGGCAAGGAGACAGGGCCCAGGTTGGTGCACGTCCGGCAGCCCGAAGGAGCCAATATCTGGTGGAGCCACTCCACAGCATAGCTTCCAGGGTCCCCCCCAGGGTCATGCTCAGTGAGTGACAAGCATCACTGCACTCAGGGAAAGCCCGGAGCTCTGGCTTCCTACCAGGTGTTTGTGCAGTTTGCCGATCAGGGGTCATTTTAACCATATGCTCTGTTTTCTAGTAGCACAGCTAACTTTCCTCTTTATTGGTTTCCCGGGAAACAGAGCTAGAAAATTAACCTGGGGTCGAGCCGGTCCTTAGAGAAGGAGAGGGTTTTGTTACGGGACGAGAGCGGTGTTCGCAGCCAGGGTTCATGTGCACAGCTTCATGGGATAGCTGTTATTTTCTCTCTCTTGCTCAGAAAAGGGGACTTTTTGATGCCACTAACGGACTCACTGGGACGTCAGGAGAACATAATTTGAAAGAGACCAGTGCTTTGAATGAGCACAGAGTCCCCAAGATGTGAATCATCCAGCGAGGCTTCACTTACATTTTCCCCTCGGCCCGAGCCGCATCTAACAGCCGAGAGAAGGGAGAGAGTCTGGCTGTGACTGTGCATTCAGAGCACAAATTAGAAGCCGGGAAAACGCCCCCGCAGGACAGGTTTCGTGAGAGGTGACAGAGGGACACTCACCTGAGAGCAGTGAGTCTGCGCCATCCCACGGTCCACGTGCCGGCCATTAGGACATATAATTTCCACTTGACTGGCAGCCGCTAATGAGCTCTAACGACACAGCAGGCCCTGGAACCTGCGGGCAGAGGAGCGGTGTGGCCGCGGCCTCTGCTGCGGGAGAGACGGCCGTCCTCAGCAGCGGGCGAGCGCAGGACAGCCTGTCCTCCGGCTCCAGTCTGGGCCCGGGCTTGTCTTCTCTCACGTGTCCCGTTATTTAAAACACGCGTTTCGTACGCACGGGATGGGACTTGCACTGAGTCCCGGTGTCCAGGCCAGGCCGGTGTAGACATCTCCTACGCCGAGCGAACGGAAGCTTTCGGATGTGCCCGTGGAAGTGACTTACTGAGTTTGTGCAGCACGTTAGCATTGAGCCGCTTTTCAATGGGCAGTTTCCTTCCAATGTTACTATATCTTAGCCAATGAATTAAGACTTTCTATAAAAATAATCTGATTGAGATGTGTCTCAGAGTCCAGAACTGTCCATTCTTAGCTTACAAACAACAGCCTTTTGGTGAATTTCAGGGTCTGAGATGTTGACAGCATGTGGTGGGTGGTGCCTGAGAGCCCACCCTGGGGAGGGGACTTTCTGTAAAGGGTGGGCGTGTCCAGGGAGGGACCCACGGGGCAGCCATCTGGCAGGCACCGGTTTGTGCCGAGGACACACAGACAAAGAGAAAAGCATGTAGGGAGGGAAGTGTAATACAAAATTTGTGCTGCGCCAGAGGAAGCTTGGGATGCCGTGGGAGTTTGGACCGAGGGCATGTGACCCCGCCCAGGTTTGCTTGGGGGACAGGCAGGGTGACAGATGCTTGGGAAGATCAACATCCAAAGGCCTGGAGCCTTCAGGGTTGGATGGGACTAAACCTAAATCCAAAACAAGGGGGCAGAGCTGGTGCCAAGACTAGACCGAGCACACAGCCCCCTCAGCTGAGGGCAAGTGGCCCATGGTGGTTAGAAAGGGTCAAGTGTAATAGGCAGGGACAAAAGGTCATGGGAAGCTGCTATGGAGTTTTTAAGCCAGAGAGCGACATGGGACAGCTTGGGTCTTGGAAAGGTCAGCCAGAGGGGGTGCACTGGAGGTGGGTAGAGAGCTAAGAGGCAGCCTCAGCGTCAAAGCAAAGGTGAACTTACTGGTGGTGATGGGATTGGAGAGAAGAGGCTGGATCAAAATGTATTGTTTGCTGCCTGAGGACTATAATGTGTTTTTGTTATAAACGATATTTGTGTTGAATAATGCTCCCAAAGCAGCTCAGATTTTATTTTGTTCTTGGGTATTTTTTTTGAGCCCGAGGATCAAGCTGTTACCTTCTTGGGTGGCTCCACACGGGATGAGACCCTGGAGGCCCGAGGCTTTGGTGGAGCAGAAACAAGCCAGGCCCAGAGGGAGGGGCAGGACGCTCCGGTGTGAGAAGCTCCAGCCTGAAGAGGGGGGTTTTCCCAGTCGATAGGGGACCTGCCCAGACAGGGGCATCTGGGGACAGGCCTTGATGAGGACCCCAAGCAGGCAGCCAGGCTCCAAAGAACCTGTTAGTGGGCGCCAAAGTCACAGGTGGGAGGAGCCCCGCTCTGGCAGGGTAGGTGTGGGGGAAGCAGGGAAGGAGCATTGGAGAGAACAAGGCAGAGGTGTTGCTAAGGCCGCCACTCAGGTACCAGGGACAAAAGACAGGTTGTTTCCAAAATTTGGGGACAAAGCAATGGAGCCTCAGAAAAACAGTTTAAATCCTCCATATTTAATTGGACTACAAAGTTGGGGTCAAAGATTGCTTTGCTCCCAGTCTTGAGAGGAGCTGGTGTTAGACTTAGAGCTTCCATCTCAGGTCAGATGGGTCCCAGAGCCCAGGGCAGGGGTCACAGGTGGGGTCAGGTGCTGCAGCTGCTTGGAGAAGAGAAGCAGAGTCTGGAGCCAGCATAGCCTGGCCATGACCTTCCTGTTCACATACTTACTTTGGGAACATGGGCTCTGGCTTAGCTAGAAGGCCAGGTGCTCTTGTCAGCATCTTACTGAGAGCAGGTGGCTCTCCCCACACCTGTCTCTGAGCCCCTGCCAGAGGTGGGGATGCCAGTAGCTTCCTTGTGGGGTCCGGTGAAGGGCGGGAGACATTCTCCTGGGCAGCAGTGGGTGGCAGCATGGCCAAGATGTGGTGGAGCAACAAGTCTTTGGTGGGCAGCGGGTTGGGGGAGGTCTACACAGGTGCCTTCTGCAGACAAGTGTTCAGGTGGCGTCAGAGCTGAGCTGCCTACAGCCGGCAGGCTGGAAGTGTCTGGGAAAAGCAGCCACCACCGGCTTCTAGGGCTGCTTCCGAAGTTGGCTGTTTTCAGTAGAGAGCAGCCTGGAGACAGACACAAAGGTAACCTTGGAAACGGATCTGTGAGCTCGTGTGGGGCCCACTGGTCCACACCTCGAAAGGATACATTGGGGATCAGTAATGAGTATTCAGTTAATTCGCTGGACCTTGATTTTCACGAAGCTTTTCTGGAACATTCACTGTGCTCCTGTTCTCACGGCACTTCTCTCTTGGGGCTGCGTGCGTCCCTCTGATCCGCTGCAGGGTCTTGGAAGCTTCCCCTGTCACAGCCCCGTTAAAGTACAGGAAATACCACAGCGCTCTGGTCGGGAGGCGGCATCTATTTGATGTGAGGTGTTTAAAACTATATGGCAAGTTTTTCATTTAAAACTAGAATTAAAATCCTCGCCAGACACAAGTAAAAAGTTTCCAAGAAAATTGAAAGTGTGTTTCTCATTCAGCTCCAGTGTTTATAACTCCAAATTTCTAATTTCATGGGGGAATAAAAAGGAATAGCTACAATTTTCCTAACCCATTCTGATTTCTGGGAAGCTCAGAATGGTGTCTTCAGTGAGTTTATTTATTTATTTATTTTTAGTTATATTGAAGAGTCCACATGAGAGCATAGCTTATTAGTACTTTTTAAGCTCCTTTACTTCTTACTTAATCTTTCTCTATATCCTTCTAAATAAGATCTAAGAACCAGGGCATTGACAATCTTGAAGCTCCAATCTTTAGATTTATTGCCCTTTTAAGTGTGCCGAGGGCAGCAAGAAGTAGGTTATTAAAACCTTCATCCTCACATGTTTGCCCTTTGCTTCCCGAGCAGGGGCGTTTAGAGAAACTTCGTCCACCCTCATTGTGCCCATCTGGGAGGTGTGATAATCCAGACCTACCGGGCTGACACGAAACTTTGTTCTTTCTGTTAAAAATACCTTCGCTAAGTAAACTTCCAGCGTTGGTGATGGGACTCTGTGGCTCTGTCAGGGTGAAAGCCTCGCTCAGTCCCGGTTTTTATTGGTGATATTTGCTTTAAAAAGAAACATGCTATAATGTAAAACAAATCACTTAAAATTTGCCAAGGTAAACACTCAGTTTCTTCTCTTGTCAGAGTTATTAAAGATATGACCAAAAAAAAAAGTCCCCCATTCTTTTCAAATGTTTTCCAAGTGAGGCATTTCAGTTCCCTCTGGATAAATTAATGAGATTTGATCCAAGTTGGCGCCGATACTTCCTACCGAAGGGCTCGTACGGATTCTGTTCCTGCGCCCGAGACTATCAACTGTGTCGTGATATCTTTTCCCTCCTGTCCTCACTTCAAAGAGACAGATTTTATGTGGAAAGGCATATATTTTTTCATTTTATACCTTTAATGCTCATAAAAGGTTAAAACAAAGCAACTTAATTAAGCTTCACATAATGTAAGCAGAGTCCACTAGATAATATTCTCTAGGGTGTAAGACAGAAGGAACCCCAGAAATATGTATGGTGGCCCCAAGTTTTAAAAAAAAGATATGAAATTTTAAGTATGAGATATAATGCTTCTCTTTATTCGTTGTCTAGGGGGCTGACAAAGAACGGAATAGTAAGCTAGGTGGAAACTTATTCCTTCAAATTGATGTCTCATTTTTATAGGAAAAAAATCACCTATTGCCTCCAGTTTTTTGTTGATTTGGTAGGTCTTTCTAAACCATGGGTCACCGCTGTGGGGAGCACCCCGTACCTTTTTTGAATCCTGCCTGAATAAGCGACTGTGTCGTTAGGTGCTTGTAGAAGTCCCAAGTAATGGCGTTTTACAGCGGGCGGCGTGTGTTGCGAAAGCCTCACGGCTCTCTCCTCCCCAGGCATGACGGAGATGGTGCGGAAAATCACCCTGAGCAGAGCTGTGAGAATCATGCAGAGCCTCTTCCCCGAGGAGTACAACTTCTACCCTCGCTCCTGGATTCTGCCCGACGAGTTCCAGCTCTTTGCCGCTCAGGTACACGCCACTCCATCACCGTGGCCCGGGAATTATACTGCAGTTTCAACCATGTCCTGGGCGCTGGGGCAAGGGGTCCCTGGGAAGCTGAGGCTGGTCCAGGGAGTGTTGGATGGGGCACAGTAGGTTTGGCAGCCATCACGGCAGATTGGGGAATTGAACAGGTAAGGCAACAGGTCGGTGAACTGAAGAAGTGGGTGTTGACACCAGGAGACAGTTCGGACGCTGACATTGGAGCTGTATCCCGGGGTCAGCGTTTGGGGACCCAGAGAGACAGAACTGGGACAAGTGGCTGAGCCCACAAGGGGACTGGGACTAAACAGGTGAATCTGAAGGTGTGGTCTCCCCAGCATCCAGTGGTGTAAAAGGGGGAGCTTGGGCTCTGTCTCAGGGCCAGGGGCTCAGTCTAACAGACCATGGACGGGGGACCCTTCCAAGTGTCCTGCTTTAAATTTGGTCCAGAGTCAATTTTCAAGCCACCCATTCCATGTCACAGCAATATATCTGAGCATGAAATACTTTGGAAATTTCACCATAATTGTGAAACAGAACCAGCGGGGAAGCTGAATTCAGAATTGTCATTGTGGTTAATGGTTGTAACTGGGATTGTTTCAAAGCCTCTGTCAGCGGGCTGCACGGCCCATCCCACGCCTCTGAGGGTGGTGACAGCAAGTACCCACCTAACCGCGATGTGGGTGACCCCACTGACCGGTCCTGCTGCCTGCATTGTGCTGCAAGAGTAACATTATTTCTTCTAGTCCTCACAGTAAAGTTGGTCGTATTGATATTATTATCCCCATTTATGGATGAGGAAACTGAGGTTTTGAAAAATTAAGTGACTTGCTTGAGGAGTGGGATTTAGACCTAGAGCTGATTTCAAGGCCTGTGTTTTTATCATCTGTTTCATTGCCTGCAGGTTGTTTTGGTTTTTAATAGCAAATCATGAAACTTGTAATAAAATTATAACTTGTAAGGCACCAAAAGAGCTTCAAGTGGTCATTTTTTAAAGGAAGCTCTCGATGGGATGAAGTCACGTGGGTCTCCCAAAGTTCATTAGAGCATTAACTTAAAATGAATGCACTTTATTATATGCAAATTATCTTTCAATTAGGTTAATTTTAAAAAATAAAGTGAACTGTTAGCTGCTCCCCATACTGACCCCTCAGTTTCCCACTTGTGTGGTTCTGCTCCCACCTTCCCTTCCCATTTCTACAAGTCTTTCTCTGACAATTTTGCAAGGCTGAATTTCAGTGGCATTCCAGCCGCGCCTTTGAAATCAGGTAAATGAGAAGGGTGTTTCCCTCCTTTCCCAAAAGTTCCTCTGGGCCTCTTTGCAGCCGTTCTGGGCCGCTGCTGGTCTGCATTCTCACCACAGGTTAGTTTGGCTTATTCGGGCAGTTCATGTGCACGGAATCCTCTAGTATGTATTTTTCCGAGTCTTCTTTTTTCTTTCAGAATTACGTTTTTTGAGATTCACCCATGTTCGTTGGGCGTGTCGGTAGTGGGTATGTTTTTGGTGAGGAGTGTCCTGTTGTGTGACTGTACCACAGTTTGTGTATCCACTCCCCAGTCGGGGGGGCACTAGGGTCGTCTCCGGTTTGGGGATTTCATCAGTAAAGCTGCCTGGACCAACTGTGTACGTAGGAACTGGGGCGGCAGGAAGAGTGTTGGGAGTGAGGCAGGTGTGTGTCTGGCTCCGTAAGAAGTGGCCGGGCCGTTCTCCGGAGCGGTCGAACACTTCACGCTGCCGAGGCTGCACACGGGAGCTCTGCCCGTCCCACACCGTGGCCAGTCCCTGGTTCTGTTGGTCTGTTGAATTTTAGACTTTCTGGGGGATGTGTACTCACAGCTCTTCATGGTTTTAATTTAAAACCTCCCCGATGTCTAGATGTCGAGCATCTTTCCCTGTGCTTGTTGTCTGTCCGAATATATATTTTTAAAGATTGTATTTATTTATCTTTAGAGGGGAAGGGAAGGAGAGAGGGAGAGAAATATCAATGTATGGTTGCCTCTCGTGCGTCCCCTGCTGGGACCTGGCCTGCAACCCAGGCATGTGCCCTGACTGGGAGCCGAACCCGATCCTCTGGTTCATAGCCCTGCGCTCAATCTCCTGAGCTACACCAGCCAGGGCCAAATATTTCTTATTAAACGTCTATTCAAAATGTTTGCTCATTTTTGTTAGTATTTTACTGTTAAGTTGTGAGTTCTTTGTATGCTCTGTGTACAAGACTTTTGTGTGTGTCGTGACGTATTTGTATATGTATTGTGATATTTCCCCCCACTTTTCAGTCTTAACCTTGATTTTCCATTCTTAACTGTCTTTGGAAGAGCAAGTTATTAATTTTGATGGTTTAATTTATCACCTCTTAATAGTTTGTGCTTTTGTGTGATATCCAAGACATCTTTGCCTAATTAAAGGTTATAAAGATTCGATGCTTTGTGGTTTTTTCCTAGAAGTTTTACATTGAGCTCTAAGATCCATTTCAAGTTGGTTTTTGTGTATTTTACAAGATTGGGGTTGAAATTTGCTATTTTTTATGTGGATATTCTGGTGTCAGCACCTTTTGTTGAAATGGTCATCATTCTTCCATTGAATTACCTCAGCATCTTTGTGGAAAACCAGTGGGTCATACATGTTTTGGCCTGTTTACAGACTCTGTTTCATTCCACTCTTCTGTGTGTTTACTCTTCCACTGGTAAAACCTCGGGCTTTACAGCTGGTCTTGAAATCAGTGATGCCAGTCTTTTTCTGCTTAGTTTATCCTCAGAACTGTCTGGCCACTGCAGGCCTTTTGTATTCCCAGGTCGATTTTCCAATCAGTCTGTTCCACCTCCACAAAGACGCCTGCTGGGATTCTGGCGTCGAGTTGGGTCTGCGGGTCGATCCAGAGACAGTGGGCATGCTAGTGGTGCTGAGTTACCGCTCCGATTTTCTCTCTGTTTATGTCTTCCTTATTTATCTCAGCAGTGTTTTTTAGTTTTCCCCTGCGTGTTTTCCTTTCTTATGCTACTGTAAATGATATTTTTGAATTTCATTTTTCTATCATTTGTTGCTAGTTCTAGACATCCAACTGACTAATTTTGAGCTTGTACCATAGGGTCTTGCTGGATTCCCTTATTAGTTCTGGAAGTTCTTTTTTGGTAGAGTTGTTAGGACTTTCTACATGTATGATTAATTCCCCTGTGAATCAATATGTCATTTCTTCCTTTGTAATCTATGCGCCTTTCATTTCTTTTCCTCGTTAAACTGCGCTGGGCCAGGACCCGTACACAGTGTGGGAGGGCAGTGACTAGAGTGGACGCCCTGGCCTCGTTCCCAGGCTCAGGAGAAAGCGGGCAGCCTTTCACTGTGGCACGTGATGTGAACCAGAGGTTGTGTGTAGGTGCCCTTCATTCTGTGGGTGAAGGTGCGTCTTCTATAGTTTGCAGAAAGTTTTTCACCATGAATGGGTGCTCAGTTCTGTCAGATGTCTTTCTGCATCTATTAAGATGTTATGAGTTTTTTCCTTTGTTTTGATAATATGATGAAGCAAGCACACTGATTAATTTTTTAAATGTTTAAGCTTGCATTCCTGACATAAACCCTGCTTGGTTCTAATGTATTAGTCTTTTATATGCTGCTAAACTCTACTTGCTGGTATTTTGTTAGGAATCGTGTCTTTGATCATGCGAGAGGTTGACATTTCATGGGTTGTTTGGTTTGGTATCAGGCAAACCTTATTAAAGGAGTTGGCCAATGCTGCTTCTACTTTTTGAAGATTTTATATAATATTGCTATTATTTATTTCTTAAATGTTTGATGGAATTTACTATTGAAGGTATCTGGGCATGGAGCTTCCTTTCTGAGAATACGCTAAATTTGATTTTTAAAAATATAGTTAATTTGTCTTTCAAGGAACTAGTCCATTTCATATAAATTGCCAAATCTGAAGTAATATTTTTTAAAACAGCATTTCCTTATTTTTTAACATCTGTAAGATATGTATCATTGCTGATATTGATAATTTGTGTTTACTTTTTTCATAATCAGTCTAGTAGAGGTTATTAATTTTTTGCTTTTTTTAAAGAACCAATTTATGATTTTTTTATTTTTCTCTTGTTTGTTCACTTCCTATATCATTGATTTCTAATTTTTATTATTTCTACTTCTTTTGGGTTTACTCTTCTTTCCCTTCTAAAATAAAAGGCTGTTCTAAAAAGGAACCTAAGTTCACTGATTTTAAACATGAAAGCAATACACTTCCCTCTAAGCACTCCTTGCTCTCTCTCATTGTAAGTGTGTAGAAATGCAATTGATTCTTATGTATTAATCTTATATCCTGCAACCTTGCTCACCTCTGCTAATAGTTCCAATAGCCTATTTTGTAGGTTCCATAGGATTTTCTATATAGACCATCATGTTCTCCGAGAATAGGATGGTTTTGTGTCTCACTTCCCAGCCAGCCCTTTATTTCTCTTCCTTGCTTTATTATACTGGCTAGAGCCATTGTGAAATGACCTCTGAGCAAAAGACAGGCTGAGGGTTGTGTCAGGACATTAAGACAGGAATCTCATGCAGATAGGGACATTTAGAAGGTGGAATCCAAGGCCAAGAGCATCCCCAGACCAGAGAGGAGGTACTTTCAGGAATCTGGTCGGGATGCTGTGGCCAAGATGGGAAGCCCCAGGGAGGGGGCAGGTTTAGTGGAAAAGGTGGAAACCTGAGCCAGTGCTCGTTGCTCTACTGTTAGGTTCCTGATTTTAGCTCTTCAGAGAGATTCTTTATCACCAGTAAAAGGGGCAAGGGGTTAGCAACCGCTCTGTCTCTTCCTGTTGTAGCATTCGAAGCTCTCAAGTGGCAAAGCCCATTTGACTGATGCTGAAGGTAGTTGAAACTGGATTGTTCCCTAATGTAAAGGATTTCTTTGTCTCTAAAATGACAGTAATTTAGAATCTGCTGATCCAGGGGCTGGGACAGGCAGAATGGGACCGTGAACACCCTGTCACCACCACTTAGTCCT